TGAATCTTACGTTCGTTTCATAAAGAAGGAGGAAAATAACATTAGGAAGACAGCAGCAATTAGTTTTAATAATGATGCAAAAAGGGTTGCAACCCTCCGCAACAAGACCGTGGTGAGGATGGAGTCTGCATTAGCTTTGTGGATTAATGACTGCAGAAAAAAAAAACATTACGCTGGATACGAACGTTATCTGCACAAAAGCTAGAACACTGTATCAAACCTTTGCTGACAGTAATAGGGAACAGGAGGAGGATGCAGATACCGGGCCATCCGAAGTATTTCATTGTATAATAACTGTAAAAAAATAAAGGTTTCTACTTCACGGATTTCGCCTATCACGGGTTCTTTTTGGAACGTAACCCCCGCGATAAACGAGGGTTCACTGTAACATGGTTCAGAAATGAGCAGCTTATTACCGGGGAGCCGGTTTGGACTCAGAACCACCTCAGGGTCACCGGACTGCTCCACTCTGCCCCGCTGGGCTCGGTCCTGACAGGACAGGACGGCAAGGATGTGGCGGTCGTCCTCCATCAGCCACACCTGCAGAAGAAGAGGCAGATGGCAGCCCACCATTAGCCATGGTTCTGCTCGAGGTTTCTGCCTGTTAAAGGAAGTTTTTCCTTGCCTGTGTCGCCTAGTGCTTGCTCATGGTGGGAATTGTTGGGTTTCTGTAATTAACTTCAGAGTAGGGTCTGACCTGCTCTGTTTGGAAAGCGCTGTGAGACAACTGTTGTTGTGATGTGGCGCTATATAAATAAAATTTAATTGAATAGAATTGAATTGAATTGAATTGAAGAAGAAGAGGAGGAGGAAAAAGGAGAAGAGGAAGAAGTAGAGGGAGAGGCAAGGAGAGATGAGGCAGAAGAAGAAGAAGGAGAGGAACAACAAGAAGTAGAAGATGAAGGAGAAGAAGAGGAAGAATAAGTAGAGGGAGAACAAGAGTAAGAAGTAGAGGAGAAGAAGAGTAATAAGAAGGAGAAGAAGAGGAAAAAGAGGAAGAAGAAAAGAGGGAAGAAGGGTCCCTCACCTCCTCCTCGGGGACGTGGGTCTGGTGGCGGCAGAAGGGACAGCTGATGACGGAGGGGGACGACTCTCCTGCAAACAGTCACATGATGTCCACCATCTTTAGACACCTGGAAGCTAAACTCACCCATGTCCACCATCTTCTTCTTTAGCTAAACTCACCCATGTCCACCATCTTCTTCTTTAGCTAAACTCACCCATGTCCACCATCTTCTTCTTTAGCTAAACTCACCCATGTCCATCATCTTCTTCTTTAGCTAAACTCACCCATGTCCACCATCTTCTTCTTCAGCTAAACTCACCCATGTCCACCATCTTTAGACACCTGGAAGCTAAACTCACCCATGTCCA